TGTACATAGGTAAGGCTGTTCAAGGTTAGGCTGTACCTAGGTAAGTCTGTTCAAGGTAAGGAAGGCTGTACCGAGGTAAGGCTGTTCAAGGTAAGGAAGGCTGTACCGAGGTAAGGCTGTTCAACATAGGTCTGTTTAAAGGTAAGGCTGTATCAAGGTAAGGCTGTTTCAAGGTAAGGCTGTACCAAAGTAAGGCTGTACCAAGAAAGTGGTTTTCACTTACGACAGACATTTTAAAATAAACATATTAGGGAACACTTGTATTTAGATAACTTATAACTATAAATCATAGAATAAGTGTGTTACTCACTTGGGTTCATGTTGGTATGAACCCTGAACAATGTTGTTTAATCCCTATAGTAGTGTTACAGTTGATATCATTATTCAATCAAAATAACAAGACAAGACCAAGAAATTTACCATGGAATAAACTTTGCTTTCTCTGCAATGATACAGTTCAAACTTGTCATTCTGGCTCCTGATGACAAAAAATCCATCGAACAAAATGAATTTCTTGACAAAGGCTTAAGTACAAAGAAAAGACGTTCTGAAAGAATTTTTGTTTTATTTCAAGCGAAAAAGTCATACTCTTGTTCAAATTTGTCAAAGTCTCTATCTGTAAACACTGTGCCGGTTTGCTGTGTAATCTCTGGTGGAGGGTTATCCTTGGCCAGTCTTCCTCGGTTCTGATCAACAACCTGTAAGTACATACACAGAGGCTTACTTTTGTGATTTCTATGTTAGACTTGATAGTAGAACTCTCTTTTAACTACAAAATGTAGAAGAAGGATTTCCAGTAGAATACTTGGGCTATTATTTTGATCACACAGACACTGACACCAGTGGACAGAGTCATAGATCAGGATCAGATGTATACAGCTATATAAATTGTAATCATTAGCCTGGGCTCACAATTTTGTCCTGTTATTGTTATTGTGAATTGTGTTAATTAATACTCTATTGGACTCCAGTTCTATTGCTGCATATGTAACCCTACCAAGCTTCAAAGAAACTGCATGCAGGGTTTTGTCCAGGTGTTTATAGGGTCCGGTACAGGGACCCATTCCCAATTGATCAAGAGGCTGTGAGGGTCTGAATCGCTCACCTGTTTAAAGTACTTGATATGAAGTAAAGATATAGCACTCCTTGGTAGGTATTTTATGTACATATGAAATTTCAGAAAGATCCATCCAGTATTTCTGGAGTTATAGCGAAAACAAACTTCAAATGTCAAAATCCAAGATGGCAGCCTGGTGGTCATCATGTTTTAATAAATACATCCTTATAGTATCAGGCACTACTAGACACTACTAGACAACTTGGTTGAGACAACATTGGGATAAAATCTTCCCTATTGCAGGAGAAGGATTTCGAAGGTCTTACCTCTATTAGACCCCGCCCTTTGCCCCCATGGGGGCCACACCCACCGTTTATACAAAATTTAGTTCACTTGGCCCAAGGATGTTCCATACTCAATTAGGATAAAATCCTTTAATCCCTACAGTAGAACAAGGATTTTAAAGGTTTTACCTCTATTTCCCCTATTGGGCCCCACCCATCTGCCCTCAGTGGGGCCACACCCACCGTTTATACAAAATTGGCCGAAGGATGCTCCAGACCAAATTAGTCTAAATCTACAGGGCCATTCAGGATTAGAAGTGTTTTAAAGGAAAAGTTGACGGACATACTTAGGACGGAAAACAGACGCTGACTCAAGGCATAAGCTCAGTTGGGCTAAAAATGATCCTGTATTTTCCCAATTTCAGTCTTTATTTTCCCAATTAGATAAAAAAAAAAAGGCATGTTTATACAAGTTTCCAGTCGTTATATGTGCAATGTTCAAAGTATTACCATCTATGAAAGAGCATTCAAAATACATAAGTAACGAAAATTTGAAATTGAATTAACAAAAACACTGAAAACAGCTAGAGAAAACTTTTAGCAAATCACATTGTAGGTTTTATTTCTCAAAACTTATATTTTTCCGAATCTGTGCATGTGGGAACACTGATGATATTTTCCAAATTCCTGCTCAGGGGCCCTTTCCCAAAATAGCTGGTAAAAACCCTGGCATGAAAATTAAGAAACTAGTTGCCTGGGCGAGATTGTAGGCACAAAATACACGAAGGTCAGTTAGTCTGTAAACCACAGCATCAACATGTCCTGTATCCAACTACAAATGACAGTTGTCAATCCCAGCAAGTTTACAGAAAACTAGAAATATGTCAAAATGACATGAAAGTCACCCCCCCATCTCCTGTGTGATTATTTTCAGTATAATAAATCATTGACCAAGCTACAACTGACATATTTCCACCTGTCAATCAAAATGGTCTAACAATGACCAGGTATGCATACACGCTGTTTAGGTAACCATGCCAACCTACTAGGATATAATAAGAAAGCATGTGGTTGATTTACTTGAAGAAAATGTTCCATGTTTTATGACCATAAAACACAAACACTGCAAATAATTTCATTTTTTTTT